GTCGCACTGTAACCAAGAAGAATGGTTGAAGGAACTCGAGGACACTAGTCCCGCCAATGAAGCTGAAGGAAAAAATACAACAAGTGCTCGTCGCACGAAATTGTTGGAGAACGGACGCGATTCCGATACTTAACAACGAGAGAGTTAAGCGCAGATGTACATGTAGACAATATAGACCTCGAGATTTCCTCTTTTTGGCTCCACGAGGCATGGTTTCAAAAAATGTCTGAAGAACGAAGGAGCCTAAACTGAAGTAACATAATACCAATGCCGCTGACGAAATCTTTTAAGTAAAAGAAATCACGGCAGTTTAACTTGTAGTTTGTCGCTTCTCGGACGATTTCACTGCGACGGGTTTCCGCGCCAGAATTGGAGTCGTCTGTTTATTTCAAGTTGTCATAACCCATTGTTGTGGTAAACTGACCCATGCCGACATCTGTCAGTGTGGAGGGGATTTTTAACACCTATTCATACCAATCTCATAAAAGGTTTTTCGTCTTTTTCTCGATAAAATAAAGCTGCATATAAGGATAAACATTTTTACACGTGTTCCGATGGAATGGCTGAAAATCGGCAGGTATGTTCCAGGATACCTCCTTCGAAAAAGGGTGCCGGGCTTTGTTTAATTTCGCTTCCGTTTCAAAGTTATGCCCTCTTTAGTAGAAGGAAACGTCCGCATTGAAAATATGAAAGTTTAGGAGGGTGTGGAAAAAAACTAAACCACATCTGGAAGATCGCAGACACTCTTTTTGAGGTTGATGTTTGAGAAATCATTTCCGATGTAAATCGTGCCGCTCCGATAATTCACGCGCGGAAGCGAACTAGTTTAAGTGAAGCAGTGTTTCTGGGTATTTCTTTTAATATCATTGCGACAAAAACGTTTTAGAAAATTTCAAAGGTATGATTGTATTCTATAACTACTAAGCTTTCAGAAAATGCATAGGTTGATGGGGTTTTCTTTCAAAGCGCCAGCGTAGGAGCGCGATTTCCAAACACCGTCCATCCACCCACCATGATACCTTAGCAATAGATCGTATCTTAATCCTTTACTCTCCCTGCCTACATGTGCTAGAAACAATGTTCAAACGAGACCACCAGAAGAAGAGTCGAGTCCCGAAACGAGAGCGAAAAAATTGAAACGAAACGAAATCACTGAAACAAGCGAAATCATTCCATTACTGAGAGCTAACCGTAACCAGGCTAACCTGAACGCTATAGACTAACCGGAGTGTTTATTGGTTTATCCTTTTTTTTATTTACCTGACAACAGCCGTAAATTTTACGAGAATTGCTTCCGGCTTTTCCTGGAATTACGTTGACGTCATTCAAAGATATAATTAGCCGACGTTAATTCAGCAATCATGATAAATAAAAGTTGAAAACGTTTAAACGATAGCGTCATTTAATGCAATGATATCTAGCCAAATCCTTCAATGGGCGACCCAAATCTGCTGTATTGCAATACGTCCAATACATTCATATTCTACAAATGTATAGTTACGTATTTCAGGAATTCAATAATTCAACCTTCATCCAGTTATAAATAAACAAAGGTCACGAGACAGCACTTAGCGGGATATATGCAGTTTGATAATTAATTCAGGCGGCACATCTGATATCTGCATATACCTTTGAACACTGCATAAGGGTTTCTATGCGAGTCCCGCGATGAACGCTGGAAAGTATGAAGGTTATGGTAGGTACTAATCTTTAAACGCATTCGATTTGGTGGTGTACCCCACGTTTGTTTTCCTCGATGCGCAAATGCATTACTTGTAGAACGTCTACTCGAACGTGTATGTATATTTATAATACTCGCCACTTTAATTGATGCTAAGAGACGAAACAGTTGAGTTGGATCTGTGTTTGGAAATCTATATGTTTTCATAGTCGTTCATTGCGTATCAAATGCTAAAGATTTAAGGTTATTACGATTTTGGCCGCCATTTTTGTGGAACATGTCAAATCGGTACGTTTTCTAGAATATTGCGATTCGCCATGTATCGTCGGGACTGGAATTCCGCCAAGACGGACTTGCAAATTTTTCGATCAGGCTCAGTACGGTACAACTGACCCTTCTCAACAGTTAGCTGGCTGAAATCTTTAGTGCTGAGTATCGATTTTTAGGCCCCGACCACACTAATGCATTTTTTAAAGTATCCGTT